CTCGCTCTCTCTCCCTCGGCCACCCTTGTCTTCTTGTGGATTATTCGTCTGTGACCGGAATAAGCGGTTCTTGATTTTGGTTGTTAGAGATGGGGTCGGGCTTGTTTTTACATTGATTTCTATAAAAAAAATGGGGGTGGTTGGATGGCCGAATGGTTAGCGCTTGTATCATAAGGCCTGTCATTGGGTCAACTGGCGTAGTTTCGAATCCCCGGTTGTACGTGACAAGGAGTAGGGTCGCCTGTCCATCTTCGTGCGTTTTCTCCGAGTCCTCCGGTTTCCTCCTACTGCCAAAGTCCCCTATAAGCACGGGCGAATTGTGACGAGTGGATGTCAATCCTCATTAATTCTCTCTCTCTCTCTCTCTCTCTCTCTCTCTATGCACAAAAATATTCTTTTGGTAAAATAGTCCGAATGCACCAAGAAGATTTATACTTTTGGTTGAAAACGAGATTTTGTGATAAATTACATCCGGGCATACGCGTGTCATGTGATAACAAATAACATGTTCGTACAAAACCAATCAAAAGATGTTTGACAGTTACATTAAAATGTTCCCTTGTCACATATTGTTTTCTCGAGATAAATGTTGGTTTTATATTAAAAAGCACAAAGGACAATAAATCAGATTTAGTACAGATCATAAATCCCCCCTCCAATGAAGAACGAATATCGTTTTTTTTTTTTTTTTAGATGACGTTTAGTAATTGAATTGGAAATACACGTGACAGAATTTTATGTAATACAGGGACTGTTTCTTAGTGAGCGACATTTACGTGTAGTTTAATGGTCGAGTGCGAGACATTAAGTAATATATTGATATTGCACGAGGGCTATATCTATATATTACGCAATGTCTTGCACGAGACCATTAAACAACTTAAAATACAGACACTATCCAGCATGTGCATTTCAATGAAATACGGCACGCGGGTCCAATATTTCGACTAGTTTAAATAATGTACATTGTCCGTACCATTATATGAAATAATGGAACACCACCATCAAAGGATGACGTCACATCTGTATTTTAAATGTATATAATGTCCTGTAATAGTTTATAACTGTATCACTGCCTCCTGATAAAGACGTGATAATTCTTGCGCTCAGTTACAGTTATTACTGGCAATACGACTATGTTTCTCTAGTAATTATCAACCAGTGATATAATATGAAATATAACGAGACAATGTGATAAATAGAAACACCAGCGGTTGCCAGGCAAGATACGCCCACATTTTGCAAGAGATGGTTAGAGAACAATCTAAAAACAAAAGTGATTTTTCGTAAAATGAGGGGCTATAATCCAGAAAGTTATGGTCTGAAATGCGCAAATATCAAACGGGACTGAGATCGTTGGGATATAAAGATATATTTTAAGTTTCGTGAAAATCGGATAAAAATTGTGACCTGTAGAGTGTCCACAAACAAATTGTGGATGGACGGACGGACCGACCGATCGACGTCCGGGCGGACAGGGGCGACGGCATAATACGTCTACATGAAAATGTGGGCGGATAAAAATGAATTGGTACTTAATGTCCTGCTTTTCTCCATTGACCGGGCTGTTAAATGTCCTTTTACACGGGACCTTCGGTTTTTATCCTATCCGGACGACTAGACACGGCACTATCCGTGCCAGCCCCCACCCCTCCCTCCCATAGTATATAAAGCGTGTATTTGTTTTTGTGATGGTTAATCATGTTATTCCCCGGATTAATTCATTTGATTTCAAATATAAATTTGTTGTTTATTGCTTAATGCAAAGTCTGGGGAGTTTGTCGTGTCCGTTGGTTTGTCTTATCGGCTTTGCACTTGTGTGATGCGGTCCCCATGTACATACTGTACATACTAGGCGACCTTCGGTTGCACGGATTTTCGTACTATAGTCGAACCAGTAGTCGTGACCAGCCGTACCATGCGATAAAGCACGGTCGGGATAGTTCAAAGATGGCTGACAAACTGACACTTGAGAAGATTTTCTGAAAAATATAATAAAATTGCCAATTGCCGTTGCGTTATTTACACCTTGGTCGGTATATTGACTAATCCTATTTGTAACCTATTTTAAGCTTGCTTTCACATTACAGTATGGAAAATTAATCAGTTTTTAAAAATACATGAGTAAATAGTAGAAAATATAGTAGGCGGAACAACTGACATGGTCGCCACCATATTGAATAGTCAATGGCTAGGGCCATTTGCGTTTGGGTGCTGGTTCAGACTGTAGTCGCGACCATAGTCTACATCCGAAGGTCGCCCTAGAGACTGTGTCTGAGATATTGTTAGATATACGTCAAATCCGCTGTAAATTTAAACTCATTCAAATGTTTATCATGTGTCAAAGCTGTAGTTTCTGTCGATAACCGAATACGTATTGAACGTAATGCCTTATTATGTAAGATTGCATTCACTGAATAGCGCATTAAATGCCAGCTGTTATGTTTCTTTTGTTGCATTTATTCCATTTTATCTGCACAGTTGATATTTTGTGCAACTTACGTTTCATGTTGCATTTTTATTATCTTGCACTTCCCACCCAGCTGTGTACACTGACATACAGGGTAATTTTTAATAATAATAATGATATAATACATTTATAGATTGTCTACATTCCAATACAGATTACTGCTCCGCGGCGTTATTAAATTTGGTAAAAATGGTAGTGCCACAATGAATAAAAATGAATTATTAATATAATCACGTAAAATGTTTAAGAATCAAAAAGTTCAGTTATCAAAATATCATCACAAACACTACATAAAACTTTGTTTAAGAAGACATCACAATCACTACATATTCTTTATGAAAAGAATAGGAGACATCGGTGACCGGTGACTAAGACGGTGGCTCTATAGCCAGAAGTTCGAACCCGGTGATGGTCGAGAAAATTGCCAGTTATTTTCAAGCCTGGCATTCCTTTGTCAGTATTGCAGGGCGGAGGGAATAACAAGGATAGTGTTTAGTCATTCGGGTAGGGCGACAAATCGAGGTCCCTTGTACACTTTGGCGTGCAAAAGATCGTAGCGCCGCTGTTTGTCCTCATATCATACTGCATGGCGTTTGTCCGTCAACATTAGCCCGGAAGGAGCACAAAAGTGGGACGTTAAACCCTATTTGATTTAACCTAGTAAACCATATCCAGACACAGTATTTCAACACCTAGTAAAATAGGGAGCCACGGTGACTAAGTGGGTAAGGCGCTGGCTCGCTAGCCTAGAGGTCGCGTGTTCGACCCTTGCATTAGCCGCGAAAGTTCATAGGGATTTTCCGACGTGGTTTCCCCTTGGCAGTTGGAATTCGACACAAGAGTAGGCCATAAGAGTTCTGCTCCCTTCATAGCACACTGTAAGGCGTATGCTCGTCTTCATTAGCCCTTCCTAGTAAAAAATATCCAGACACAGTGATTCAACACGTAGTATAATATACCCAGGCACAGTGATTCAACACCTAGTAAAATATATCCAGACATAGTGATTCAACACCTAGTAAATCATATCCAGACATAGTGATTCAACACCTAGTAAAATATATCCAGACAGTGATTCAACACCTAGTAAAACATATGCGGACCTCAACGCACTCCTATGATTTATACAATAATCTACTAACGAGATTGTAATCAAGAAAATATCCGACAAGCGTCCATCAATTTAAATTAAACCACTTATAAACTCATATTGTATATTGACGAAAACCATACCCAACACTATATCATATAACATTATCCTATATTACAGGATTATTATGATATCGTTCTTAACTGACATTAACCATCTGCCCAATTCTATTTTATTATAATAACTTTAATCTTCATCTGCTACCAATCCGTATTCCTTGTTTCATAAAAGTTAAAGGAATTTCCGGAATTTTATTAAAACCAGACGCAGCGCGACGGATAATGATGTAAGAATTGGTGTATGAGATCCAACAGTGCTCCATTAACACAGTATAAGCCATATTCTTTATCTATATCTAGTTCATTGTCTGCATTTATTTTATATTACCATTGGTGATAACAGCTGCCAGGGTAATCTACAGCTACATAAATTATAATTAATGCATATTGTACACATGTTCCAAAGAAAAAGCATGCTGAATACGTTTATTTTTTTTTATTACTGGATCATTTAATGATGTAGCAAATAAGTGCTCGGAATCTACAAATATTAGCCGCTTCTAATGAGTTCGTTTGTCTAACTTTTCAAATTTCTTGCTTTGAGCAGGACGGGGGCGCCTGGTAAGAGACAACGTATAGTCGTTCGGATAGTACGAAAAACAGAGGTCCTATGTACACATTGAAGTGCACGTAAACGAACTCTTGGCAGTATGAATTCGATATATTTCCCTCATAGCACACTGTATGGCGTATGCCCATCTTCATTAGCCCTGTCGGACGTTAAACCCCATTTCATTTTATTTCATTTTGCTTGCTTTGAAGTTTTCTTGTGTCATTGCTGTACATGTATTTAAAAAAACGAAAGATGTAACTTTGAATCGTTTTTCGAAAGTAAAACAAATTGGCAACAGCAAAAAAAAACCCAACCCGTTCATCAAATTGTACAAGACGTTAACTTGATAATGTATTGGAATCATTCAGTTTGAATGTAGTTGAAATTAAAAACCTGGAAGATGCGATTTGTCGGTTATTAAGCATTGGGTTTCAGAGAAACCATCAAAGTGTAAAAAAAATTGAATCTTTTGTGAAGCCCGAGGATCAGTTAGATGGTTCGATCAGGTTGAATAATTTCCAGCTTTATTTTCTATAGAAAGCCATCTAGATGATATCCCGGGTTATCGATCAACCGGGGGATAGTTGGATAAACGAATTAAGGCCGATACCATTGAATTTAATTGGTGAATTACAGACAAATTGTGCAAACCTCTCATTTGATCAAGAAAATAACTTCCTTAGAGTGTCCTTATGTGGGAAAAATTATCTTGACTATTAGTGCTTCTTGTATGAATTTCTATGTGACACTGTTTGCTTTCCTTTTCAGTATGAAGACAGAAACGTGTGATGTTTGCTATAGAAGAATGGTTTGCCCATACTCTAGGTCAATGTTAAACGGCGGACATACTACTTAGAGTAGCTGAACCAACATCGCTATCTCTTGTCCATAATGTTTAATCAAAGCGTTCTCGTCACGAGTGTTACTCAGATTGAAGCAGCTATGGACAATGTATCTGGTGACGCACTTGTTCTGGGAACTAATTGGACGAACGCTTCAGGTTTTGAGCCGAATGTTAATACGACACCGCCACCGTATTACCCCGCTGGGTACCCCAGTGGTTATACATGGGTTCACATTATCTGTTCTAGTATTGCTGTTACTTTAATCATTTTGCTCATTGTAATTGGGAACTTTTTGGTCATTTGGGCCATCATTACAGATCGGAACCTGAAAGGAACTCAAAATCTCTTTATCGCTTCGTTAGCCTTCGCGGACATGTTTTTAGGTATCTTAGTCATTCCGTTTTCATTAGCCAATGAGCTAATGGGTTACTGGTTTTTTGGAGTAATTTGGTGCGAATTGTGGAAAGCTGTCGACGTATTGTTGTGTACTGCATCAATTTCTAGTTTATGTTTAATCAGCTTGGACCGATATTGGTCTATTACTCGTGCAATGAGCTACTCGCGTCAAAGAACTCCCAAGCGAGCTGCCATAATGATAATGATCGTTTGGTTCGTTTCTGCTGCAGTATGTATTCCACCTTTAATTGGTTGGAAGCATCCCGTAAAGGAATCCGATTGGCCAATGTGTACCCTGAGTGATGATGTTGGTTATGTGTTCTATTCATCTATTGGCTCTTTTTATATCCCGGCATTTATCATGTTGTTTGTGTATTATAAAATTTATCAAGCGGCGAAGGCACGAGCCCGAAAGACGGTTAAGAAACCACCGGGCCCACAGGCTATTGCAAAAACAGAAGCGATATCGTCCGTACCTCGTACGGAAGCACGATTAAACAATCAAGTGAAAACCATTGAAACCCCCAAAGAGGAAGAAGATCCCGACACGTTGACTCCAGATTCATCGGACGAAATAAACAATCAAAAAGATGTCACATCGTGTCCGCAACCTTTGGCAATCACGGACATGTCAAAACTTCTGTCCACAGATTCGGACTCGTGTGAACCTGTGACACGAAATATCCGTGTTATTCATAACAATACGTGCCTGGGTGCGACTACCGTTACTTTACTTACGAGCGATAACGATACGGAATCTTCGTCGGAACAAACCAAAGCATTGTTGGGTCCACACAGTAGGGACACGGATACTGATGGTGGCAACTCGACTGAACCGGGAAACGGAAAAGTTCAGAAGTTTACCATAGTTGACCCCAAACAAAATGGTAGCCCAAATGTGCTAGAAAAGAACAAAGTGAAAGCCAGTAGACCCGGAATCCTACCCGGGATAACTCGACATTTATTTAACGTGAATCGAAGTAAGAAAAAAATGAACTCGGAAGGAGGTGACACGAAACCCCCCGAATATTTTTCAGCTGATAAGCACAAAAGGAAAATTGCTAAAGCAAGAGAACGAAGGGCTACGTTGGTGCTAGGTCTGGTCATGGCAGCTTTTATTTTGTGTTGGGGACCTTTTTTCACGATGTATTTGGTGTCATCATTCTGTAAGGACTGTATCGGTTATATGGTTTTCACCGTGTTCTTCTGGATCGGTTACTGTAACTCTGCCTTAAACCCTATCATTTATACTGTGTTTAATCGTGACTTTAAAAAAGCCTTCCAGAAAATCATTTGTGGTAAGAAGAACAATCGACGAAACCGATAAAAATATCCCCAATTATCGTTATTGTTATTTATTGATAAAACTTCGTAATCAGGGCGTGATCGGAGAATCTTATATACATATAATAATAATAATAGCGTAAAGGTTAAGTTCTACAGATTGTTCGAATTATCATTTACTATTAGCGTTCAATTATATTAATTGTTAAAATTGTTGAAATAGTAATGCATTGGAAATATCCATATTTTGTATTTGCATACCATGTCAATTGCTTTGTCTGATTGTTATTTATACAGTGCATATGAATCTTTATTTAAATTAAATGTGTTCCTATAAAAAGCTTTAAAATATATTATCGTTATGGTTAAAGAGCAGCGTGGCTGCTTCAATGGCATTGATACACCAACATTACCGTACAACTGCATTTGACAACGGCGCCCCCTCCCCAACCCTCCACAGCACATAGAACTGTGTAGAACTCCATAAGATGGATTCGACAAATAACAGCGTTTCTTATAAAAAAAACGGGAACATGAGTTGCTTTTTCTGATACGTCATTTGTATTGTTCGCTAAAATATCAAATTTATAACGGTTCAATAAACGCTAGTATGTACTCGGATTGGTTATTTAATATTTAATTTAAGAAAACAAAATCAGAATACCATTGCTAGATAATGTCCCGGTTTGGATTTAATCCGATTTTTTTTAAAAAAAAGGCCAGTCGATTTTGTCCGTCCATGGTAAAATGGCGGAACATAGCGAGCAGCATAGATCGATGGAATTTCAGTTCAGTTCAAGTGGCCCATCATTTTAACACGACTCAATCCACGATGGAATTTATTCAACTTGATTATTTAGAAAACACAAAATATCAAAGGACTGGGATTTTTGTGGATTAGAAAGAGGCCCAAAACTTATAGGTGGCATTGGCTTGTTTATATTCGCTGCAGAGGATGCTGAATGCTGTGAAATTTTCAATTTGTCATATCTTTGTAAATACTGCATGGAACGAAACCATTTTTCAACAAAAATGGTGTCTTTTTGTTCCCCATCTTCGAAGAAGGGGGGTGTGGTATTTAATTTGGCCGGTCAACATGTAAGCATATGTTGGGGCGTGGATGTATCTGTCAATCAAATCAAACAAGAACATGGTTGGTGGGTTCTTTTAGGAAATATCTCTGATCAGTATTTCATTACAGGTAACCGTATAGCCAGATTGGTTGAAATTTGTCACATGCTTGAATGTGGCCCCTACGGAATAGAATTTAACAAGTGGTTTTATTTACAAATGATCTGCCTTTAATGGTGTTTACTAGAAGTTGATTTTTAACTAGCACCCTTTCAATGGGTTGTCCAGAATTGTTATGTAGTTATGGTTATAATGCAAGGCACAGTTGTATACATTCCGTATATAATAAAATGAAATGAAATGGAAGTGGGGTTTAACGTTATACTGCAGCGTGCAATGAGGGATGTTTGCCCGGACAACGACACTACGGCCTACTCTTATTTCGATTTCAACTACCGAGGGTTCTTTTACGTGCACACCAACGTATACAACGCTCCAATCCAAACCATATATTAGCGATACATTCGGCATTAACTTGGTCAGTTCAAGGTCAATTCTATAAATAGTTGGATGGTCATTTACCTAAACCTCATTGTCTATAAATGCAATAGATTCTTAGACTGGCGGCTATCGACAGTACAAACCATCTTATCAAAAATCAGCAGTCTATTGTTCTGAAATTCCCATTAAGGATTGCAGCTGACATATTATCATACATTGTATACTAGACTAGACTAGACTGATTGGAATTTGAATTCTTGTACGATGTTTCTTCTCCAATAAGATTCGAGACAAGGACAAGGATTAGGGTCGCTTGTCCAAACTCGTGGGTTTTCTCCCGGTCCTCACACTGTTAGAGACCCCTACGCGCAAGCGAATTATTAAAATAAAATAGAGCCATATGTCGCTTCCTGTGGTGGCAATACCTCATGATACATTACTGTCGCGTCCTGTGGTGGGCAACATCTCAGTATACATTACTGATTCGCCCTGTGCCGAATGTCTTGGTGCGTTTCTCAAAAGATAACGGGTTACTTTGCAGCGTCAATAGGGCAAATGAAAAAAGACAAACGGCTTAATGTGTGATGTGAAATATATTTTGCCCGAACAGCGGCGTTCCACTTTTTCTTTATCAAATCCCAGCTGCCAAGCGTACACATCATCCGAACGGCTAGACATACCCCGGCCTGTTCCACAGATTCGCCCACTCATCGTTAGATAAGTACATGTGTTTTATAAAATCAAAACGTTGTTGCGCTGTTGTCCCTTTAAACGCTAGTGTTATATTAAAATCAATAAACAAATTTCATAAAATATTCTGAACTTGAAAGCTTGATAATGTGTAGACAAGTCAATATTACTGTAAATGACAAATGACAATAAAATATCTGCTACTTTGAAATGAACCATTGTACCTATAAATAAAAGAATGGTCTTTTATAAATCTGTGCTTGTGGATACATTTAACCCAATAAACCCAATATTTAATCTCAATTAACAATTATTTAGATTTCAGGTAATATTTGTTAAAGAAACATTAATGTAATGCTGATCGACACTCCCTTCGTCAATCGGAATAATGAAGACGGGGATACGCCATGTAGTATACTAAAAGGGACATTTTGACCGGGCAGCGGTGAAGACGGGGATACACCATGTATACGAAGGAAATTTTGACTGGACAGCGGCGTTTCTGCCTACTTTTAGTCGAATGACAAATATCGTGGGTTATTTTAGATGCATACAAACGTGTACACAGGACATCGGTTTTTCGTTCGGTCCGAGCGACTAGACACATTTCCTTGTCATCCCGGCCTGCATCACTGAGAAGTAGAAAGCAACTGGAAAAACACGAGGAATTGTCCCGAACAACATGTGGGTAAAATCTGCTATAGTTAGTCAACTCATTGCTGAGCCACCGTGCACCCCCCCCCCACCTCCGCACCCCACCCCACACACACACCCAACAAAAAAATCCAAAGCAAAACAAAAAACACACCAACCTCTTGTAATTTCTTTGCAGGGTAGAGCATCGCCACCTTGATAAGACTGTTCAAACACCAAGTTGTATTTGGCATTAATTGTATTAAATAGAAAAAGAATAAATGCTTCACAAAATTCTTGAAGTATACTTAGTGTTTAATTCGACTAAAATCGTCGATATAGGAATTAAAATGTCGGTCAAGCAGGTGGTATCTGTTGTTAAGCGAAGCTGATTGTAGACAGACGGCGTAAGTTTCGTACACTCTACAGGTAACGGGTTTTGTTTCTAAATTCTGGGGGTCACGGTGGCTAAGTGGGTAACACACTAGCTCGATAGCCTTGAGGTCGGGTGTTTGATCCCTGCATTGGCAGATTTTCCGACGTGCTTCCCCCTTGTCGGTGATGCAGGATGGGGGGCTGACAAAGACAGCTGTCTAGTCGTTCGGATGGGACGAAAACCCGAGGTCCCGTGTACACATTGGCGTGCACGTAAAATATATCTTGACAGTTGGAATTCGATATAAGAGTAGGCTATAGTGCCGCTGTACTTGCAAAATTTCTCTCATAACACACTGAATGGCGTGTGCCTGTCTTCATTAGCCCTGTTCGGAGCAGAACAGTAGGACGTTAAACCCCCATTTCATTTCATTTTTAAATTCTAACTTTCTGTTTCGTTCACGACAGTAAACCGTTATATTTAAATCTATTCATAGCCATAAAGCTGTATAGATCTTGTCACCAAAACCTATACACGTAAAAACGTTTATATCAAATTATAACAAAATCACGTCGTTATTCGAATACACATCTGGAAAATATTGATATAAATATTTGATAAAACACGAAGGGAATGAATGGTACCATTTAATTACATATAAAGCTTTAAAGATAGTACCAGGGTTGTTTTCATTATAAGGTATATCACCCTCCGTTGGGCGATTTCAACTTGAAATTTTTATGGGCGGTATCGGATTTCGAGGATGAAAATCGATAATTGACAATTAAAAAAAATGAGTCAACACGTTGGTCAACTGGAATTTGTTATTAATAATTGATTACGACGACGATGTGTGGGAAGAATAGAGTTACCAAATGACAATGATGCTATAATAACCCCTGCTTTGTCGAATATTCATGGCATCAATGATAAAAAGGAGAACCACCGTACTGTTAACCAGGAAATCACTATGGCGTAATCACAGCCATTTTGAAATTGTGACGTCATATCAAAATCGAAGTGCGCAGTAATGTCCAGGAATCAAGTATGCCAAGTGTCACGCTGTCGATCGTATATAATATGGCTGAGCCTTAGGCTTTTAATCGGAGAGCGTTGCATACACGAACAACCAGGTGAGTAGCGCTTGGAGACCAGTTCTTTGTTCTATAAAATATCTCTGCTTCAAATGGCTGTAAAATTACACAAAACATAAACAGTAGCACTGTGATCCGCGTTTGATGTCTAAAACTATACAGATATATCTTACCTTCAGGGAGACATCAGGTGTTCTTTCTCACGATTGTCTTCAAGATCTTGGCTTATAATTAAATCTACTTTTTTAAGACGGCGCAGGTGGGTGTTACAGGTGCATAATTAACTCGTCTAAAAAGAATGGAAAAAAATATACAAAAAAAACCCTTTTAATCTTTTAACGCCTTCAAGCATGTTTGTGTAAGGCTATAAGATACTTGAGATTAATCGACAGTGTTTTGCTAGTCGGATTAAAGGACAATATTGGTGCCAGTCATTATCACATATGTGATAGAGCTGGTTAAACACATTCCAAATATATTGTCCTTTAATTGCATTTGTAAGGCAGGCCCGTACAGTGAAAAAAATGTCTAGCATAAAAACAATAGATATACATTGTCCGCCAATTTTATAGCACACCCGAGAACACCCCCCCCCCCTCCGCGGTTGCTCTTAGCTAGTTACGGCCCTGTTGTAAGGTCATGTCATGCCGTGCTTATTATAATTGTCCGATAATCCGTTTATACTTGGGCAATTAATTAGAGAATTCATTGACAATCTATGGAGATCTTTTTCTCAAAAGAACTGAACAATTTCATGCATTTCTATATCGTACAGAAACTCGCAAATCCGTGGAATGTGGCTGATTTGCTAGTTTGAATACAGGACATTCGAAAGCCTCCCCATGGCCAACAAAAGAAACAGGAGTTCCACTCTATGATCCTTTTGAATAGTCGAACCTTAAACCTAGCTCACGTGTTTGACATGCACGGGTCGTAGGGATTAGTAGCTCGCAGTCTGGCCGCAAGAAACCGGGTGAAAACTTTGTTATGCGTAGAGCCAAAAGTCTCTATGGCCAGTTCGCGATCTTTTACGGAGTCGAACACACGCAAGTGAGGAGTAAAGCTGCATTTCCTTGAGTACGGATCCGGTCCGGCTCCGGTCCGGTTGCGGATACGGAAAAAAAACTTTCATAGAATTTTAGTAAGAGTGTTTCCTTATGTGCGAGTGCGGATACGGTTCTGTATGCGGCGTCCGGTACGGTTTTTCGAAACGGACCATGTAGCGTTCGGTACGGAAACACATGCGGAAC